TCAAATAAATGACATGTAATTCGTTAAACCTATTAGAAATGTGCTATAGTATAAAATCTTAAGATAAAATTTCTAAAACTGATATCTCTTTAAAAAGGTTAAAATTTTGGCTATAATTAAGTCTATTAAAAATTGAAATAAGTGAATTGCAATGGAAAAACCTGCATAAACAAATAAATTCTAGTAAAACAAATATATAAATAAATCAAAATTTTTAAATCGTGATATAAATCAAAAATCGTCAAATAAATTCGTAATATATAAATTCGTGAAAAAAAGTGCTTTCTACAAAATACTAAAATAGAGATCTATCGACAAAGACTACTCACTTCTGCCTAGCTTATGCTCTCTCTGGTTATTTCAGTTTCCGTTTTGAAAGCGCTATATGTTGAGCCATCTCAGCTAGATTTGGCATGTGACATTTTTAGCGGCAATCATTGGTCGATTTTCTAGCGTTGCCATTCGGGGAGGCCTATTTGTTGCCATGAGGCTTATTTTTTGTCGCCGTGTAAGAAAAATATATATATATAGATTTTATTTATGATTTCTTAAAAAAAAAAGATTTGCATTATTGGCCAGTAAAGGAAAATTTAGGATGATTCTTGAAAATCTAAACAGTTTTCAATTTAATTTTAAAAAAGAGTGAATTTGTGACCTCTGTTACAACTATTTAACGACTTGCAAAGTAGGTTTCGGTAATATATATTTTAAAAAAAATAAGATCCGTATTACTTAAAATAAATCAAATTACTTAAAATAAATTAAATTTCTTAAAATAACATAAATTGTTAAATTTCAGTGGATTTTAGATACTATAGCTGTCATCATGAAAAATAAACTTACGATTGTAAATTTGCATTTTTTAATTATTTATTAATATTTTTTAATTGTATATTTTTTATATTGATCCCTTAGTTAGAACCTAAGAATATTCATAAAATATTTAAATTAGTTAAAACATGAAACAAAAACCCTAAGAAAATTCCTCATAATGTCGGAAATGTAAAATCACAAGATACATAACAGTCTCAAATTAAAAAAGTTAGCGAAATTTCAAGAAACACCGGATCACCTTTATCTCCATAATTCCACTTTTTAATGCATTAGCTTCGTGAAGAAAAAGTTTTAATTAAAAAAAAAAAAACGAGATCTGGCAACTCGAAAAAAAAAGCAAACGAAAATCAAAATTGAATTACGAAAAAGAGTTCTCTTTTTTATCGCAGTTTTTCTTTTGCATTTAAACTCTTAGCACTCTCTTTCAAGAACGATAGGTAAATAGCTAGGGAAAGAAAAAAAAAAGCAGGAAAAAAATAAGTCAGGCAGTCAATTTGTGATGGCTTTATTAACAAGAGCGAGAGAGCCCGCTTTATGGCCTCATTTTCCGATATCGAATACTGTGCGAAAGTATTTTGATACAGTACTGAAGCGTAATGTTGGACCAGCTCGGAGAATTATTACTCGACGTATCTGGGTCGACATAGAAAAGCGAGTAACAAAATAGGGAACAAATCTTGCTTACTGCTGCTTCTGGTTTTTGTCACAGAACTTTTCTGATGTGTCTTGCGATATCAGAAGGCGGAAAGTATTTTTGGTCGAATGTCAATTTTCCATTGCATTGTCCATTTGCCAAAAAAATGTTTATTTAGTAATGTAGGAAATAATAGTTTGGGCAGAAGTAATTAGTTTGTATATATTTGTTTTCATGATTGTTTTTTGATTTCTAGTTTTTTTGTTATTTATAGGACATTTCTTAGGAAGCTATTTGTTTCCATTAAATCTTTGATGCTTGAAAAACATCAAAGAATACGCTTGGAAAAAATCTGTTTATTGAACTATTGTTACTTTAAAAAAATATTTGTTAGAGTAAATTCATTTTATTATGAAATATTGAAGTCCAAAATGTAAAATAAACAACAATTTTAATACACAATTTATTTATATAACATAATTTATAAATAAAAATGTTAATTCTGAATTAGCTTTTAAGTTTCTGAGCAGCAGGATAAATGCTTAAAACTAAATTATTCCCTACCAACATCTACGGAATTTTTGTTTTAAGAAAATACTTTTCTTGGAGTTAACAAAAGTAATGTATCGGATTTTTTTTTCAATAATAATTAAAACAATCCTGGTGTTCTCTCACTTTGACATTTTACCTTCATTTTCAGTCATTAATTGGAAATTTTTTTAAAGAAAGTTGCTTCTTTTAATTTTCAATTTACATTAGTTCTTCGAATAAGGTGCTCAAGCTTTTAATATCAGCAACCAAAAGGTCAGCTGACCTCAATGGGTTACCTCAAATTTTAACAAAAGTTTATGGTGGATGGGATAAGGGCCGCTTTGTGGCCCAGGTACCCAAATTGCAACCATTACTAGAACTAGGATAATGAGTTAACTTAAATTGATCATGTCATCAACATCAAAAACTAAGTATAAAAACACTACTGCAAAAATTCAGCCACTTTTGTTTCAAGTTTAGAATGGTTTATGATTCATCAGTTTCTTGCTTAGGGCTTGCATCGTGAGTTCGAAACCAGCAAGTCGAAGAATCTCCGTGTATTAAATGGTGACTGGAGAGCGTTAAATCTGTGGGGTCACTAAGTTCCCCAAGTTCCAATAACGAATAATTACCTCTGGGTGTACTGTATTGGAGATAGAATGTTGTCTGGTTCAAAACAAATTTATGATCTGGGGATGAATTAATGAATGGATCCTCCCTGTGAAACGGGCAGTGTCGAGTGTGTGGTCGAAATCATATTTTTGGCCATAGATTGCGCTACTGAAAAACAAGAAAACGCTCCCTTCTACTTTAAATTTGATTGAATTCCCATAGCAGATTTTCTGGTATAGGCAAGTGGTGTAAGATGGGCAATGGTAACACAAGGGATACATCGCTCATCTTTCAATGAGATGCCCAGGCCCGAATCCCAGCGATGGCTTGACATTTCGACTCGTAAATTGAAGCATGACTCGCAATGAAAAAAAAATTAACTAATTTTTAATAAGCGATTTTGCTTATAAAGGATCGGCTGGCATACAGGTCACATACGAGGATTTTTCTCTTCTTGAAGAGCTCAATTAAAAAATTGTCAAGTAAAAGTAAAATGAATGAAAAAGTAAACACATATAGACTAAAGAATCCTACCTGGTTGACCCAGACATTGGTAGTCATAATCTGGTTCTTCAAGTTCTGCAAAATAGAGATAAGACATGCTGTAGAAAAATAAAGTTTATTTATTTTTTTAATAAAATTAAACAATTGTTTTGCTAGAAAAAGTAGTGAACGTATTACTTGTCATATAAAAATAATTATGAAATACCTGCCAACATCTTAATTTTCTGACTAGGGTTTTCTTGAGGTCAGGTAACTAGCAGTTGAATTGACCATTGCGAGCACAAATTATTTCAATAATACGTAAAATCCGTTTCGTAAAAATTTATTCTAATGGTAGCTATGTTAATGTATTATTTTTTATTCACTTCAACTTAATTTCCACACTTTTTTTCACGTATTATGCATTGATGTGCATATTAGTTTATTTGCATGTAGTGAAAGTTAAAACTATTATAAGACAAATTTATTAAGGAAATACTTTATGTGATTTCTTTAAATTATTTTAAAGTATAAAATATCCATGCATGTATTAATTGATTAACTAAAATTGCAAATTTGACATATTTTGCTAGTTTTTTGGAGCGTTTAGCTTGACAACTTTGAAAATTGGTGAATTATATAAGCCTACAAGTTGTTTAGAAATAGTGGTGGATAAAAAACTACTAAATTGAGTTTATTAAATCAAGAATCACAATTAATAAACTACCACTTGAAAATATTTATTTGCTGTCCGGAGCAAGTTGGTATCTCTGTGTATATAAATAAAACTAGTTTTGTGTGTTCTATATTATTGGACCGCTGCGCGGCCTAGGCACCCAGTTTTGTTTAAATAAAGAAAGAAAAGAAAGTTTTCTATATTACATTAAATTCTTCAAGCCATTTTAGTTACAATAATAATATGAAGATATTAAAAATTTACTAGAATTATGTGTTTCTAATAATTTTGGCTTCGCCGGTCACTGGTGACCTCCATGACATTCAACGTGTTAAAGCATACGTTTTTAACCATTTTAAATAGTAAAATAGTATTTGAAGAAAAATTCGGAGCCAATTCTCCTGAAAAGTTCGGCACATCTGATATCGCACGGATGCCACGGGCGACTAAAAATGTAAAAAGTGGTAGGAACTCAATTTAATTTCATTCTTTTATAAATCTTTCTAATCAATTGTAACAACCACTATTACTTACAAGTTATATTATTCATATCTTAAAACTTTTATTAATTGATTTGATATTTCCTTTTTAGTTATTCAAGCAAAGTGCTTGAAACATTCATAAAAGCAACTCCACTGCCTGCTTACCTCAATGCTCAACCAAAACAGTGTTAAAATTCCAGATGAATGGGATAGGGGTCGCTTCACAGCCCAGGTGCCCAATAAAATCAGAACACTAGGATTTGATTTGATTTTAAATCGCAAATTTAAAAATATGCTAGAATAAACTACTCATTGTAATACATATTAGTAAGATTTTGTTTTTTAATTGTCACCAGTTTTTGAAAGTTAAGTCGTCAGTGCCAACCCTATATCTAGGAATCCCTGTGCACAATATGTATATAATAAGTACAAGATGAAGATACTAAATTTTTCCAATCGTGCTATACCTATTTTATCGTGTATCTATTTTAATAAATTTTTGCGATTTAATATTCACTACTTTTTACAGTTTTAGTCATTAGTTGAATTCCTATTTTAGGGAGATTCGTGCAACTACAGAATCTGAATCGTTATAACGTATATTCATTATTAAAAGCTTCATGAGAAAATATAACATAAAAAAGTGCTTTTCGTGGATAATTGTCTTTCCTTCAAGAAAAACGTTAAAATGAAATAGTTTTAATACCAAAGTATTCCATTTCCCAGACGAATAACAGACCTAGCTATTGGATTTTCATTTTTGGATCTCCTCTAAGCAATTATCAATTCTTTTGAATCATTGCTTCATTTTCTTTACTATTTCAAGTGAATAAGAATCCTTTGGAGCAAGAACTTCATATAAACCCTTAATCATTAAAATAACCATCAGTTATTTTTAGTTTAGTTTTTATCTTTTAGTTTTATAATCGATTGTTTCCAAAGATTGAACAATAGAAGGGTCAATTTTTTTTTTCCTTTTAGAATTTATTTCGATATAGGAATTTTATATTTATTTCGAAAATATGAACCATTCTCATGAAATACCAATGCATTTTTAGTTTTGTATACCTGTATATACTTAAAACATTTATATTTACTGGTTTGTAGTCGTACGCTTACTTGTATTTTTAAAACATCCTTAGCAAAATAAGTTGGGCCCTCATCGGACCAATATTCACGGATCTTGGCTCAATAAGAGTCGTTATTTTTCCGATATTTGTACTATATAGAATTGTCTGATTTACCCGATATTTTACTAACACTTTACAACCAATATCGACCCTATATATAATTGTGCGATTCACTCGATATTTTGCAGACACTTTACAATTATTATCAACCCTATATATAATTGTTAGATTCACCCGATATTTTACAGACACTTTACAACCAATATTGACCCTGTATAAAATTGTCCGAATAATCCGATATTTTACAGACACATCACAACCAATATCAACCCATTATGGAAATGTCTGATTCACCCGATATTTTTTATTCATTATTTAGCCAATATAAGCCATATATTGGTCCTTATATAGGTTATTCTAGGACAAATATTAAAATATCTAGGCATCCCAATATTAGTACCTCGGTCCATGTTCTTATAGCCCAACTGGGACTAAGGTAAAACTGTTACTAGGGATGATTTTTTAAGGTCCATATTTTTGTCTCAAGCATTGCTACTTTAATGAAGTACTTGTATTTTTGTTCAGAATTACTTCTTAAACGTGACATTTAAGTGCATTATTGTGGTAAAACCAAATTTAATTTAAAAACTAAAATACATTCGCAGTATGCAAATTTAGAGTTTAACATATTGCAAGCAGGTCATGTAAAAATACGTTTTATAAATTTTTGCAATCCATACAAAAGTTTAAATAGTGGTAGCTAATCTATTTCGTTCCCTCTCTGTTTCTTAACCATACCTGCCAACTCTCCCGGATTTTGCGGGACATTTTATTTTCATATTTAAAGTGGTAGTAAATATATACTATTTTTTTCTTTTATAAATTTAATTTTTAAATAATTTTGATCACCACTATTCTTACAAAAATTAAGCACATATATTAATATGCGTTATGTTTTCAACTAAACTTTTTTCAAATACAACGTATTTGTTTGCTTAAAATTGAAGTTTTAAAATTCCATTTTAATATCACTGGGAAAAATGATAACGGAAGGGATTAAAAGTTGGCAGGTCTGCTTAACCCTTTCGAACCGCGCGGGGCATGCGCTGTCCCCGTCCATGGGTGAAATCCCTTATATAGCAAGACGTAAAAGAGATAAAACCTGGTACGTAAAACATTTCATTCCAGCATTTTTTTCGAAAAAAAAAATGAAATATCTGTAACTATCAAGATTTTTTTTTATAATTCTGGCATATATATTAAAACTGCTTCTTTTCCAAGATAAAGTAGATATTGTTGAAGAATTTTAAAAAAGAATAAGTAAACTCCTCCCCAAAACTAGCTATAACTGAAATGGTTTTACTACCAGCCTTTCCTATTTTCCGTCTCGCTTTCACCCCTGCTGATTTTTCGCCGTATTGAAAGGGTTAAAGACACTATCCATTCTTGATCACCACAAACATAAATGATTTAGTATATATGCAATCAGAACAACAATCACTCGTTGTAATTTTTTTTCAAATTAAAAATGTAATTATCGAGACAAATTTGCTCCAGTTTTTATGAAATCTTGCCTACCACTTGTTTTAAAACTTTAATCTATAATAGATGTTATACAGTTTCTAAAAAAGTTGCTCACATGCTACATGTTAACAACACTCTAGTCCAAATTATGATCAATGCCGCCAACTTTTTCAAATTTGTAAAAAATTATTCTAGTGGTAGCTAAGTTTATGCTTTAATGTATTATTTTTTTATTCATTTTAACTTATTTTCCACGCTTCTACATGTAAATGATTTAAAAGTTTATATGCAACGTCACATTGTACCATCTGCAGAGATGCCAACTGCTCCGGACATGCCTAAATAATTAAAAAAAAAACGGTAAATAACTGCAAAGTAAATTTTGAAAATATTTGACGATTTTTGCTTGCTTTTTAAAAGGTAAAGGTATAGAATGAGGTAAGAGTGATTACTTTATTTATAAAAAATTGGGCACCTAGGCCGCGCAACGGCCCCTATCCCATACATCTAGAAATTTACATAAGTTTAAAGTGATAACGTTTTGAATTTAGCAGTCGATGTGGTAGCTAATACAAAATTATAAGCACTTTGCTTGAGTAAATATAACATTTGAATATCGAAACTAAATTTACACATATAAATAAAAACATAATGTGAAATATATATACATAGGTTGACCTAGATAAATATAGTAGATATAACATTTGAATATCGAATCTAAATTGACACATATAAATATAAACATAATTTGAAAGGAACATATTTACATTGTGGTAGCCATAAAAAAATCAAGTCGTTTGCTTGTGTAATAATAAAACAATGAAATTTTCAATATGACAAATTGGCCTTTTTACATGACATTCGAAATGTTGATTCTAGACTTAAATTAAAAATAAAACATGATTTGATATGTAAAATAATTGATTTTTGAAAAATGAAAGACATAATTGATGGAATGATGTAAGAACTATAAAGTGGAGAATTAAATAAGCCTACGAATTATTTAGAAATAGTGGTGGATAAAAATCTACTAAATCGAATTTAGTAAACCAAGAATCATGATTGATAAACTACTACTTTAAAATATATATTTGTTATCCGGAGCAAGTTGGCATCTCTGCATCTGTCTCGTGGTAAGGGTTTTAAAATGTTGCAGAGTTGCCAACTGCTCCGGACGCGCCAAAATAACTAAAAAAAACCGGTAAATAACGACTAAGTAAATTTTTCAAATATTTGACTATTTTTACCTGCTTTTTAAAAGGTATAGCATGTGATATGTACAAT